CCCACGCCCTGAGCATGTCTTGCAGCCCCGCTGGGACTTGCATGAGCGTACACTGTGGCGTCCCAGGCATTTGAAGCATAGGCGCTTGTTTACAGCCACCGTATGCCGGGCTTGCGGTGATAACTCCCTGAATTTTGCGCACATCACAATAAAATGAGGTGCATTGCAGCAATCGCACTGGTAAGATGAGTCGCCCTGATGAGTCGTCTGTATGAGCTGCCGTTCTCCTTGGCGGTGAGGATGATGAGCTGGGACCGGGATGAGCTGGGACCGGGATGACGTGGTTTCAATCCGCTCGAGAGCCCGTATTCGAGTAGTCAAGAACTCCTCGAGCTTCTCGAAAGTAGGGTATTCGCGCGTGGCGCCAACCGCGTTTTCCCATTGCTCGCGTGTCACGCGATCAAGGAGTCGCGTGACATGATAAACCACGGCGCAGTCCCCGAGCTTCTCTGTGACATCGAGGGCCTTGAGGCCTCCAGTCCCTTGAGCGCCTCCTTTACCCCCGAGACCAGCCTGTCCAAGGCTGCCGCTTTCCTTGGCACCGGGGTTGAGCTGGCGAAGATCTTGTCAAGGCAGGAATGAATGAGCAGTCGTTTATTATCATACCTGTCCTTGAGAAGATCCCAGGACGGCATGAGCGAGTCTCCGGCCATTGAGAACCCTGATATTAGCTGAGCTGACGCGCCTTCCACCGACGAACGGAGGTAATGAAGCCTCTCCACGTTCGTAAGTTGCTCGTTGGAAATGATCAAGCTTGAGAAGAGATCTCGAAAGGCAGGCCATGCGGCATACTCCCCGGTGAACTTGGGGAGTGAAATATCCGGCAAGCGTGAGTGAGTCTGCCGGGTCTCGCTGGCCGATGAGCTGGTCTGTGGTTGAGCGGGCTGAGCTGCCAATGCGTGACGGAGCACGCCGATGACTCGTCGCGCCTGTATATAGCACCGCGACTCTGCCTGGTGAGCATTTTCGGCAAAATACTCATGGTGAGTAAGCGCCGAAGGCCATGACACCTTGAAGTAGGCGTGTTCTTTTATGAACGCCTTGTGCGTCTCCTCGATCAGCAGCTGAAATTGCGTGACCTCCTCGAGCGATGTCTGCGCTGGGACATCCGGCAGGGATTCGATGAGCTCCCTGAGCGTAGCGATCCGGCTCATCTGTGTCCGAACCTTTAGCGCGAGCTCCGTCGGAAGCCGGGCCGGAGAGGCCGTCCTCGACGACGTGCGGTCTCCCTGCGGCAGCTCCAACGCCTGGGTCGTCGGGCGGTCCGTCTTGCCCGTCTTTTGCTCGTCCGCCATGATGAGAGAGCGAGAGAGGGTTGTGAAGTCTCGCCGCCGATAAGAGTTGAGAATTCTACCGATGAGCTGTCACGCGAGAGAATCGTGAGATCACGTGATCAATGAGTGGGACCGTGTATGTGCGCGCCGCTGATCCCGCGAAAGGGCCGTGAGATCACGTGGTCGATGAGTGGGACCGTATATGTGCGCGCCGCCGATCACGTGATCGCTGCGTGGGTGAGCTAATCCGTCCGAGAGACTCGTCGCAATCCGGCTCGAAGGACCAAAAAATGTTAGCGAGTCTCGCTAGGAGAGTTCGCTGGTTACCGCTGCGGATGGAAGCATGGTGAGAGGACTTTGCGGTGAGAGACTCAAGGAACGGATGCACGCGTGAGAGGGTGAAAATATCACGTGATCGTAACTCGGGTCGTTTGAGTAAAATACCGTGTCATAATTTAATAAACGGAATATGCTTACAGTTGAGCAGTCTATGAGATAACGGGAATGAGAAGTCTTTTAATCACTTGCACGGGTCGATATTACTGATCGAGAGCCGGCCTCGTGAATGTAGATGCCCGTGAGCCGTGTCCACGCGGCGCCGGCGTGCGATGCGTGTTGAGCTTGAGCTGCCGTTGATGCTGTATCTTTGGTCCTGGATAATTCGCACTGCTGAGTGTTCACTCTTTGTCCGCACTAAGTTAGGTCTCGGATGAGAAGATCCACAAGAGCACTCTAAAAGTCTTTAGCACTACACGACGCGTGTACTAGGTACCGTAGCCATGAGCCAAAAGCCGGTAACCAACGTGAAGAAGCGCCGTCGCCTCGTGTCGCGATCGGGCATGCGCGCGCAGCGCTCCTGCGGCGCTGCACGATCCGACCCGGCTGATGCTGCCATCACGCCGGTGACGAACTGACCGAGATTCAGAAATGAATCTAATCATACCTAATCACTTAATGGGCAATTTACCAAGGGACAGACTTCAATGCTCTCGTCCATTTGAAAATATAGGCGTGGACTTTTGCGGTCCATTCTTTGTAAAGGAAAGAAAGTTTCGAAATAGAAATAAGATTAAGATTTACGTCTCAGTATTTATATGTCTAGTCACAAAGGCGATTCATTTAGAGGTCGTCAGCGATCTCACCACCGAAGCTTTCTTGGCGGCGTTAAAGCGATTTTTCTCGCGTAGAGGTAAGGCTAAAATAATATATTCTGACAATGCGACAAATTTCGTAGGGGCTAACAATAAACTGACCGAGTTGCACCAATGCGTAGAGCGAAATTTGTCTCAGATTCAGTCGCAGCTCACCAATGGAGGAATAACGTGGAAGTTTATCCCGCCTAAATCACCCCACTTTGGCGGTATTTGGGAATCAGCTGTCTGTAACGAGGGCGACCGGGGAGGCGCGGCCGTGTAGAAAAAACCCGAATTCCTCGAGCGAGAGAGAAGGCAATAGAGCCAGCCGGAGAAAATCGATAACGCGCGGTTGCCACGTCGGAGTCAGCCGGCGAAGAAAATCGATAACGCGCGGTTGCCGCGTCGGAGCCGGCTAGAAAATCAATAATGCGCGGTTGCCACGCGTTGACGGCAACCGGCAACGCCGCGCCCGCCCCCGCCGCCTCACCCCGCGCGCCTCCGTCCGGGGGGTATAAAAGCCCCTCCGGAGCAGGCGCTTGTAACTCAGTTGACGCTTGGTGCTCCGACCGTCAACACCGGGCAGCGGGTACCTCCGCTGTAGGTATAAGCCGAAGCTGAATGGGTGCTCCTGTCTCCGGCTATATACCGAACCGGAGCACACAGTGGAGGCTCTACTCCGTTGTGGGCCCCGTCCCGCAGTAGCGTACGCCTAACGGGGTGCTCCTCGGCGTACACACGCTACAATTTCTCCGCACCGGTCTCCCGTTCCGTCCTGACTCCGTTTTCCCCGAAGGCATGGGTACCGCCGTGATTCGGGGGGCGGAGTGATTCCGCAGTAGCGTACACCTAACGGGGTGCTCCTCGGTGTACAATTCCTACTGCAAGTTCACGCATCACGAGGCGCCGCTCGGGCGTGATCCTGTCCTGACCCGATCCTTTCCTGTTTCCTGACCGGTATAGAACTCAGGGGGGTAAAATTTGGGTGGGAAAGAATATTTTCCATTAGTTTTAATAGTAAGCTCCGTAGTATTAATTCCGTTGCTATTTCTCCCCTTGCAGACCAGAGGGGTCCATGCAGTCATCCTGCCTGACTGTTTCCAGTATCACCAGTGTACTCCGTATTTTCCGTACTCCGTAATTAATCCGTATTATACTCCGTATTTTCCGTACTCCGTTACAATTCTGTATTTTATCCATTATCTCCGTACTCCGATTTGATTCCGGATTGTACTGCTTATTTTCGTGTTCCGATCAAACTCCGTATTGTATCCATTAATTTCCGCATTCCGTTATAAATCCGTAGTGTACTTATTATATTCCGGATCGATTCCGTACTTTCCGTACCTTGTAGTAAATCCGTGTTGTATTCACTTACTTCGTACTCCGATCAAGATCCGTATTGTAATTATTATTTTCCGTACTCCGATTGATTCCGACTAACCATATCCTGTTTTTCTCTGTATTTAACCACAGGGCGGACTCGCTGTAAATATTAATCCTTTTCCTTTCCTTTATATTTTCACTCTAGGGCGGATCCATTGTAATCACCACGAGATCCTTTGTATTCGTTCCTGAATAAACCTAGTTCACGTTTATTTCACCTTTAAATACCTGTACGACTTATTTTCCGATCCCCCCAAGCGATTGGCTCCACTAAGTAACTAAGATCTAGTCCTCCTTTCCTCCCGACGGCCCTGGAGCTGAGCATATTCGGCAAATAGGAGGAACGGAGGATCCCTTTTCCCCGTTACACAGCACGTCAAATACCGACCGAGACGACGCTCGCTCTTCCGACCGATTAAGTAGAACCGCGCGTCTGATAGTTACGCGAAGCACAAGCGGATTGCGGAATCCCGTCCGACAATCCGGAGACCAGAACCGGGAAGAGCGGGAAGCGTGATCGTTACATGTCAAAAGCTTTAAGCATCATTTACACCGAGTAGTTGGTGAGTCATTGTTCACCTTTGAAGAATTCAATACCTTCATTATCGAGGTGGAAGCAGTCTTGAATTCCAGACCGTTAACTGCAATGTCAATAGATCCTAATGATTTAATAGCATTAAGTCCAGCGCATTTCTTAATAGGCACTTCACTTACTACCGTTCCAGAGCATGATTTCGTTGATGTACCGATCAATCGCCTGTCTAATTGGGAGCATATTCAACGCGTTAAACAACATTTTTGGGAAAGATGGTCGAAAGAATATCTCAATGAACTACAACAAAAATATAAATGGTTCATCAAAGATGAAACTAATATCAAAATTGGATCACTAGTAATGTTAAAGGAAGATAATATGCCTCCAATGAGATGGATAATTGGTCGTATCGTTGCGTTACATCCAGGTGATGACAATATTGTGCGTGTTGTTACTGTAAAAACCAATAGCGGACTGTACAAACGTAGTATAAGAAAGTTAGCATTGTTACCCATAGATTGATAGATTGAACCATCGTTCAATGGGGGGCGGTATGGTTAATTTCATTGAGTACCAGGCTGTATCGATAAGCATGCGACATAGCATTTTTTAGTTCTAAGCGTCGCCGCGAGAGATCGAACGCGATCCAGCGCCGTAGCGCAGAGACCAGTGAGTCGTCGTCCTTCGTCCGAAGCACAGTGTACAATAACGTGCGAACAGCGAATTTATTTTGACGAAATACATTCTCATCTGTAAAAAAAACCGAGGAACTACAGGCCTTCAGCTTATTACAAGCCTTCACGTTCCCACCACAAGTATAATTTTTTTTTATTTAAATAAATTTTTTTTCAGTGTACATACACATAACATGCAGATATAATGTAAAATGATAATATGACCCTCTCCCCAAATATGACCACCAAAATTCATAAATATATAATAAATGAAATTTAATATAACAAGAACGAAAAAACACAAGAATACTTACATGGTTTAACTTTATATGAGGTTCGACACGTTCTATGTCATCATTCCAAATAATGACTTGCACACGCTTTCCTGTACTGTTATTTATAAAAAATTTAAATACTCTGTATTGCTGCTTGTCTCCAACATATCGTGGAGCTTCGATCCCATCCACATATCCTACTATTTCTCTATACAAGTAATAAAGAAAGAAAACAATTTTATAGTTATTACATAAATTGGTTTCCTATAATCGATTTATGATTTGATTATAATTT